GCATATATACTTTGAAGAAAGGTCATGAAAAAAGATGATGCACGTAAAATAAATAAATATAAAAAAGGTATTTCCTAAAGCTTCATTTGTCGAAGAAAATTATAGGATAAATGATGACAAATGTCATAATTATCTCATTTCATTTCAGAATTTAGATATGAATTGAATAGTTTATCTATAGTAAGGTTGCAATATATCAACTTTATTTTAAGGTCATGAGATATCATAATATTTCATGATATATCATAATAAATTGTAAAAATAATATAACCTTTTAAAGAAAAAGGAAAAAAAAAAGAAAAAATAGGTTAACAAATAAACATTAAAAGAAATACATAACTTTATTTAATTTATTAATTTAACAAATAAAAAATGATATTTTTTTAATTTGATAATATCAATTTATTTTACGAAATCAACTTAATTAATTACGTTTAATAATATATTTTTATACTTCTTTTATCATTACATTTAGAATTATTAAATTTTTTTTCAAGGATAAGACGTTTCAAACTCATTTTACATCTAATGATATGAATTTTATGATTATTTCATCTTTTTACATTAACAATGTTTTTTATTTAAAATCTTTTAATTAAAAAATATCAATTCTTTTACATTATCAAGTCAATTATTTATGTTAATTTTTTTGTTATTGTTGCTTTTACTTTCTGTTTCGTTTAAAATTATCATAACTCTTTTTTAAGGTATTACGGCATCAAATGATATCAATTTTATGATTATTTTCACTTTTTTTTTATTTTTTTACATTAATACTTATTTTTTAGTTTAAAATTATGTTTTATTTTTAATAATAATTTTCTACATTATCAATTTAATTATTTACGTTATAATAATATGATTTTATGTTTGTTTTTTTTTTTTTTTATGTTTAGAATCATCACTACTTTTATTTTTAAAGTGTTACAATACTTTTAACACATTTTATGCCAAATGATATAGATTTTATGATTATTCTCATATTTTTATGTAAATACTTGTTTTTTTATTGAATTATTTTTTTATTATAATAATGATTTTTTATGTTGGCAACTTAATTATTTATGTTAAAATAATTTTTTTTATACTTATTTTTATATTTCATTATGTTTAGAATTATTACAATTTTTCTTTAGTATGTTACGATAGTTCTAACATATTTTACATCAAATAATACTAATTTTACAACTATTTTCACATTTTTATATTTTGATATTTTTAACTCGTTATGTGTTAAATTATAACAATTTTATGATTATTCTCACATTTTTACATTAACTCTTATTTTTAGGTTCACAATTATTTTTTATTTATAATAATAATTTTTATGTTGCCAATTTAATTATTTACGTTATAAAAAAATATATTATGCTTGTTCTTACATTTCATTATATTTAGAATTATCACAACTTTTTTTAAGTATTATAACACTTGAAACATATTTTAAGCTAAATTATATCAATTTTATGATTTTTTTTTTTTACTTGAGCACTTATTTTTTGATTTAGAATTATTTGTATTTATAATACTATTTTTTTGTTACAAATTTATTATGTTTTAATAATATCTTTTTACATTTGTTGTTACTTTTTATTACATTTAAAATTATTACAATTTTTTTATTAAGGTATAGTGATACTTCTAACTATTTTACGTAAAATAATACCAATTTTATGATTATTCTCACTATTTTATGTTAACTTTTATTTTTTTATTTAAAGTTATTTTTTATTTTTAATAATAATTTTTTTATATTACCAACTTAATTATTTACATTATAATAATATCTTTTTATACTTGTTGTTACTTTTCATTACGCTTAGGATTATTATAACTTTTTAAAAAAGTGTTATGACACTTCTAATTATTTTACATCAAATGATATTAATTTTATGATTACTCTCATTCATTTTATATTAATACTTATTATTTTGTTTAGAATTACTATTTATTTGTAATAATTCTTTTATGTTATAAAAAATATTATTTATGTTACAATTATTTTTTTGTATATTTGTTCCTACTTTTTGTTATGTTTAAATTATCATAACTTTTTGTTAAGATGTTACAACACTGCCAATCCAATTTATATCAAATGACATCAATTTTGCAACTATTTTTATAGTTTTACATTACGACATTGTAATATATTTTACACCAAATGATTTTAATTTTTCAATTATTCTTATTTTTTTATGTTAACACGTATTTTTTTGTTTATAATTATTTTTTATTTGTAACAATAATTTTGTATGTTATCAACTTATTTTTATGTTATAATAAAATCTTTTATGCTTGTTCTTACTTTTTATTATATTTAAAATTATTACAATTTTTTCTTAAAGTATTACGACTAGGGGTGTAATCGAGCTGAGTCGAGTCGAATAGTAGAAGTTCTAACTCGAGCTCGACTCACAACTCGAGGTTCGATACTCGACTCGAGCTCGATCGAGTTTTATTTTTCGAGCTCGATCGAGTTTTATTTTTCAAGCTCGAGCTCAATTCGTGGTAGAATTCGAGCTACTCGAACTCGCTCGATTAATATGTAAAAATAAGTTCGATTCGTATACTCGATAAAAGTTTGATTATTTATGCTCGAACTCGAACTCGGACTCGAAATATTTTATTAATTAAAATAATAAAAATATATTTAAATATAAATGCTCGATTAGGCTCGCGAGCTACTCGAGTCGGATATAAGAATACTCAAATTCGGCTCGATCGATAAGTCGAGTTACTCGAGCTTGACTTAATAATAATCGAACCGAATTCGAGTTTTCTTCGAATCGAATCCGAGTAGCTTGCGAGTACTAATGTATCATTTACACTCCTAATTACGATACTTATAATATATTTTACATCAAATTATACCAATTTTACAATTATTCTTACCTTTTTATGCTAATACTTTTTTTTATTTAATTTTTTTATTTATAATACTAATTTTTTTATGTTACCAATTTATTATATATTAGTAATATCTTTTTATATTTGTTGTTACTTTTCATTACGTTTAAAATTATTACAATTTTTTTCTTAAGGTATAACGATAGTTCTAATTATTTTATGTTAAATAATACTAATTTTACGATTATTCTCAATATTTTACATTAACTTTTAACTTTTTTATTTAAAATTATTTTTTTTATTTGTAATAATATCTTTTTACATTGTCAACTTAATTATTTATGTTTTAATAATATCTTTTTACACTTGTTATTGCCTTTCATTACATTTAAAAGTATTACAACTTTTTTTAAAGGTTTTACGATACTTCTAATCATTTTATGCCTAATAATATTAATTTTATAATTACTCTCACCTTTTTTACATACCAATACTTATTTTTTGGTTTAGAATTATTAATTATTTTTAATAATAATTCTTTTACGTTACCAAAAATATTGTTTATGTTACAATAATTTTTTTTTTACACTTATTCTTGCTTTTTGTTACATTTAAATTTATCACAACTCTTTGTTAGTGTTTACAATAATTCTAATCTAATTTATACTAACTGACATCAATTTTACAACTATTCTTACCTTTTTACGTTATCACACATCTAATACACTTTTAGGCCAAATGATTCCAATTTTACAATTACTTTTACCTTTTTACATTAACCTTTTTTTTTTAGAATTATTTTTATTTATAATAATGAATTTTTTATGTTGTCAACTTAATTATTCACATTATAATAATATTTTTTTACGTTTTTTATTACCTTTCATTATGTTTATGATTATCATAACTTTTTCTTAAAAGTGTTACGGCACTTATAACTATTTTACGGTAAAAAATACCAATTTTATAATTATTATTATCCTTTTACATTAACACCTATTTTTTGTGTAAGATTTTTTTTATTAATAATACTAATTTTTTTACATTACTAATTTAATTATTTATGTTCTAATAATATTTTTTTCACATGTTACTTTTCATTATGTTTAGAATTATCATAATATTTTATTAAAGTTTAACAATACTTGTGACCATTTTATGTCAAATAAGACTAATTTTATAATTATTCTCACTTTTTATATTAACTTTTATTTTTTGGTTTAAAATTATTTTTTATTTATAATAATAATTCTTTTACATTACCACTTTAACTATTTTTGTTACAATAATATATTTTTATATGTGTTATTACTTTTCATTACGTTTATAACTATCATAACTTTTTATTAAAATGTTAAGACATTTCTAATTCATTTTATGTTAAATGACACTAATTCTACAATTATTCTTACCATTTTACATTAACAATTATTTATTAGTTTAAAATTATTCTTTGGGTTTAAGATAATAATTTTTTTATGTTATCAACTTAATTATTTACATTATAAAAATATCATTTTATGCTTTTTCTTACTTTCATTACATTTAGAATTATCATAACCTTAAAAATTATAACTCTATTTTAAAGAATTACAACACTTTTAACACATTTTTTGTCTAATAATATCAATTTTACGATAATTTTCATTCTTTTATGCTAAACAATTTTCAATTAAATTATTTAAAGTATTATATTATTTTGCCTCTTTTTTTGAAATTTTGAATAAATTATATTTATCAGTTAAAATTTTATTTTATTTTATTTAATAAATAATATTTAATGTAATTAATTAAAATTAAATTAATAAATTAACAAGTAATTAATTATTTTTACAATTTAAAAAATCAATAATTTATATTAATTCTTTACGTCTAACTATCATTATTCGATGACTTTATAGTAAGGTAAATGTAAACTCACCGTAAAAGTTCCCATGAATTAAGATGTCTTTGTTTCTTCCATAGAGGTTATTTATCTCATCTCAAATTAAGTTAAACTTTCAAGCGTGTGGTTTATGAAATATACGATGTTTATGCTTCTTTTAAAACTTTTAAAACGATTTTCATAAAAAATAAATATTACATTTTATTAAAAAACTATCTTTTATATTATATTAAGTAAAAGTGACAAATGGTACAATGATAAACATAATATACGTATGACTTTGGTACCAAAAGTGTTCATATGATTATCATTATTAGACTCATTTTCTATATCCATTCAACCAAGTCAATCGCTACTAAAATGATTCCTTCATATGATTTCTGATGCATTCAGTTGATTGATTCAACTTCTCCTAAAGAATTCCTAGCTCCAGCAAAGCCGAAGAAAATCAAAATGGAAATGACTAAACCCAAAACAGAAAAAAAATTCACAAAACCGAGAAAACCTCGATTATTAACTTTTTGCAAATGAGCCCCCTTGACTTTGGTACATAGATAATTAAAATATGTGCCTTTTGTTAATCAATACTGGGTGTAACATTTGGGAACTACTCATTTGAAGGGACCAATATTGTTGGAATACTTCACCTTCCCTGACTGTATTTGTCAGGATGATGTCGCTTCATCCTACGTCGAGTGTGGTTAATACTGGCACCAAAAGTGCGCCCTTTTGTCTTTCCACTGCAAAAAGTAAACCCAAATTTTAATGCATTATGATAGACGAAAGTGTCTAATGATTTGAATCTTTGTTAGGGATGGGAAAACTAAAGAAAAAGTTATATTGTACAATACTTTTGTCACAAACAAAACTAACCTGAAGATAACTGAAAACACCTTAAAGAGAACTAAAATAGGTAGGGTCAATCCAGCAGTCGCCTGTGACAATTGATGAAAAGAATTTTTAGTTAACTCATAAACATCAAGCTCGAAAGTTAAATGATAAAAGATCATACTAAAATCCAACCATTCATGTTTAAAATGCAAAAGAAACATAACAAAGGGTGGTATGTTATGATTAAAAAGCACATACCAAAACCCATGCTAGATCTATATTTGCAAGCGATCTTGTTAACACATGGCTTTTAAGAGTTTCTTGGACCTGAGTATGAACAAATGTGTCAGAATTTACGAAAAGGAAACTAGTTTAACTATATGCTCATAAAGTTGATAGATGTTCTCTCATGTAATAATAGACTTGCTCAACCTACAGTGAACCATATCATGCCCAGACTTTCCTAAAGTATCAAAACTTTTTATTTTTTCCTTCATAATCAAGCGATCAAAATTTACACACTTCTGTGATATACTCCATGAGTGATACTTCTAAAAACAGTTTCTGAGATATCCAAATGCTCCAAAACTATAGTACTTTTTTATTACAAACTCTTCAAATCATGCAAATTGAGACGCTTGACTGTATATACCATTAGGGCAGAGCAATTGTCAGTTTCAACAAAAAAACCAACCAAAACCAACTTTATTGATTTTATCGGGTTGGGTTTAGGGTTATTGGTTTTTATAGGTATTTCAGTCAAGGCATCGGTCAAGAGGTCTATACAGCGGTTCTCGATATTAGTTTTAAAGACCCGAACCGACACAAAAAACTGATCATTTTTACCTTATTAACTTTTTATCCTTTTTATAATTTTATTTTATACTTTTTTTTATCAAATTGATAAAACTGAACAGAAAGAACCCTAGACAATCTGCCAGTACTCAACATCCCGAGACATTTCCTCAGTCCTCACACCTCTGACTGCTGAACCCCTCACTCAGCCCCTCTCTGGCTCTCTGCCAGATGCCAGTGCGCGTCTCCTCAGTCGGTTCTCAGCCTCCTAAGCTCAAGCTCTCCTCACAATCTGCTCTTGGTCTCCCCAACTCTTTGCCTCACACACACAACTCTCCTCACACTCCACCTGCCCCAGGTTCTCCCCATCTCCACAAGTCCGGCACAACCACCAATGGCTCCACTGCTCCACTAGACCTCCATGGCTCAAAAATTTATCAAAGGTCAGTTGCTTTTGCCTTTAGTATTTCCTGTGAAAAACAGAACAAAAAATGGGCTTTTCTTTCCCTCGTTTATTTGATGATGATGATGATAATATCTAAGCCAAAGAATTTGTGGTCCTAACAAGTTGAATTCAATATTTCGCTCCTCTGTACATGGATGGTGGACCAATCACAAAAGTCCAGGAAACACGAGGGAAAGTAAGGTATTCTATTTGTTTTCTTGGGATTTTCTTATTATTACTATAATTTTTTTTGAGGTATTTGTTTGTATAATGAGTAGATGATGCATGTGTAGTCATGCAAAGCTAACCATATGCTAGTGGTCCAGCCATGGCTATGTCATGAAGCATTTTTAGTATAGTTTGCTATGAATCATGAAAAACCAAAAAAACAAGGGACTAAACCAACCAACCTAAGTCGGTTCAGTTTATTTCAGTTTTCATCCCATTAAGCGGTCGGTTCATTTTTTCTATAAATTAAATCAATGCAGTCAGTTTTCAGGTTTTTACAACTGAATAAACCGAATTGACGAAATGCCATCTCCTATATACCGTGAAAACAAAATTTTACTACCTAATAAGCAGAATCTAGATATTCAGAGAGCCTAATAATCAACCTTTTTATATAGCATGTAAATTTCCATAGTTCCTAATTTTCCTTCACTAGAAATATCATTAGTTTCTTCTCTCTCTTCAAATTGAATAACCGTATATATGTGCATGTAAGTTGCTAAGATATAGCAGAATCATGTAAACCATGTACCTCTTGGGCTTTGGCACCTTTGATCAGGCAGATGTCTTTTGTGCCTGCCCATGCTTTTTAATTGGAAGGAAAAAGGCGCATAAAAAGCATGTTTAAGTATCCCTTTTGTCTATCTCTTTTATTTGTTGCCTTTTAATAATAAAAAATCAATAACAGTACTATTTACAAGATTATACTTTATGCACAAGTACTTTTTGTGAAGATGAAAGGTCAGGAAACATTGAGCTAGGTATGATGTGACTTTTGGTTAATTATTATAATTTTGACCATTAGAACACATATGGCATCAGATCAGAGCAAAGTCATTAATGTTTATTAGCAAAATTATATATTACAAGCTTATTAGACATAATGCACATTATTTTTTGCAAGCACTGTAGCCATATAAATCTTATACTGGAAAATTCCCATCCAATTATTCCTCAAGAGGCATGATCCGATACCAACCAGTGTTATGAAAAAATGTTGCAGAAATCAAACCAAAAGACATGGTGATCCCCAGTGGTAAAAATTGCACATACTAACAAAAAAACCAGAAGATGAGACATGCTACCTGATGATGGTATAGACAAGCAGATTTGATAAGTTTTCTGTAAGTGCGGATGCTCTTTTTGGTGTAGGGCTTCAAGGCAACTTGCATTGTTTCATAATGAGGTTTTGTCACCATCACAACGAGATTGATGTATGGCTCAGAAAATTTCTTCACCTCCTGTCAAAAATATGTTATTGCCATTAGAGGGAAAGCCATTGAGTTGAATGTACAAAATATGTTAGACCTTGATGCTGATTTACCTGAATGTAAGGATCTGTTAACTTGCGTGCTTTGACCAAATGTGGTGTCAAAGAGTTCTTCGATGCATTATAGACCTCAATAATTTTAGAAAGCAGTGACTGAAGATGAGGTTCAAGATAGTTTATAAAATTTGACCACTCTTCTTTTATCATTGGGATCAAATGCTTCACATAATAAAACTTGTGATCAGTTAATCATTGAATATATCAATCCACTGCAAATAGAAGAATGCTTCAAACATTGTCACAAATGCCAGGGATACCTTAACAATTGTTTTAAGTGTGAGGAAATGAGATTATGCAAATTGATTGAGTCTACGATGTGTACAATATGACATATACTTTAGAGGTGCAATTAAACATGAAGAAGAAAAACATTCTCATCTGATAAAGTTCCACTAGCTGAAGACACAAAGAAAGGGAATAATTAAAATTAATAAATAAATAACCCAAATGAGGAAGTTTATTTCCTTCTACTTTTCATGTCCTTAATCCATTAGAAGCTACACATTGAGGCCATTACTTAAGCTGGAAGCATAGTTAGCCAAATTATGTTTGTGCACATAACCTTGTTAAGCAATAGAAAAGCAGTGACATTTGACACCGATGTGAGTATCAGTTTATCAAACTAGGCAATAGAGAAGAAGAGCATGTTTGATACCAGTGTCTCCATAAGTCCTATGTTTTATAAATGAGACAGCTGCAAGCACAACCTGACCTATCAAGCATTTGCAAAATTTTGTCCAACATAGGATAATGAAAGAAAGCAATAGTAGAAGCTCCAATCTCAAACAAAGTTGATTTAAAGGGTAAATTAACTGAATCATTCAAGATATGAGACTAATTTAGCAGCAAATACTCCTAGAAATCCTAGTTCACAAGGCAATTGAAAATGTAACAAAACCTTTGAAATAGCTAATGCAAACATGACATCTTTGGAAATTATACATGACTATAGTTAGCACTTACGGTATTAACATTTCTAATTTGGGGCTCTGCCCACCTTTTAAGTTGATCTTTCTTTTTGAAGGCCTGAAGAACAATGTTAAGGAAACAAAAAGAGATAAGATTCCAAACTCTGATTAATTGGAGCATAGAATGGTCACCAAATAAAACATTATTTATTGCAAAATGCATATTTAATTGCAGAAATTAGCATGTAGCATATTCTACAGCTTTATGGTTTTAGATCTTAAGAGGCCAAAAACTAGACCTTTTGGATTGTGATGTCTAAAGCAGGTCTCCCATGTTCATTCCAATGAAACACCAAGTAGGACTGCATATAACAAATAAAAATCATTACAATAATTCTGCTATAAATATTGCCACTAACCCACAAAATATACCTGAAAGTGAAATATATGAACCGCTATCCAATGGGGAAGCCACTTTCCATGGACCTGATTGCAGGTGACAATTAATAAAGTCAAAGTTTCTTCAGCATAGACGAACATAGGAATAGAATTAAAATCATCAAAATAGGATCTTTGATCATGTAGGAGAAAATATGGGTTTTCATAATTCGGTTTTAACCATTTTAACCAATCGAACTAATTTAATTCAATTAATCAATCGGTCACCAAATTAAATTTGGTTGGTTATCGAAATGATTTTAGAGAAATTTCAAGTTTGGTTAATTCAGTTCAAAAATCGAGTTAATTGAAATTTTAACCAAAATATAATAAAACCTATACATATAAATATATAACTAAAAATATATGCAATTACTCATTTCATTTCAAGTTATTAAAGGTTTTAATTTAATATTTTGGTATTTGAATATTTTTGTTGGATGACTTTATTTAATTTGTTTTAAATATAAGAAATTAAGAATTCAAAATATAATTTAACTTAATATATTTTATTATTTGGTTAACCGAAAAAAATTAATCGAATTGACCGAATTAATTTCGTTTGGTTAATTTTTGAAATTAATTTTTGAAATTAAGAAATTCGATTCAGTTAACAAAAATAAAATAATATAACTTCGTTAATTCAGTTTTGAATGGTTCAATTTGAAATGAAATGAACCAACCGAATGAACACCCATAAAAGAAAATAGACTCAAAAGTCAACTCAACTCAAGTGAGCTTAACTCCAAACTAGTTTTCGTTCACTATAAGCTAATGCTACAGAAGAAACAAATAGTTGCTCTTAAATCCTTTTACCATAACATGTCTCCTTTTTTTTCCTGTTCTTTTCAATTTTCCTCATTCCTCATTTTTACACCAGCTTTTTTTGCCACATTTTCCTTCTACACGGATTTGAAAACCCAAACTTAACCATTCTATTTACTCTATGAAATTATGTTGAAATGTGACTATGATGTAATATCATCCATCTATGAGTCATTTTTTATAATTTTTCCCTCTTCAATAATAGTGCATCAGCGCCCAAAATTTTGATGGCAAAGAATTTGAACATGTTATAGCAATGAGATGGTGAAAATTCAGAGAATGGTTTTAAGTTCTTTTCTTAAATCTGTCACTTTGGATTCAGGACAGTGTGGATGTCAATACTGATCTTCTTACTCAGATAAGATGGTTGGTTCAGGTAGTTGACTAGTATTGTTCGGTGAGGAGGAAGGGACAGAGGGAGGGAAATATACCTAATATTCCTACAAAGATTGGTGTCAGGTAGGGAAAAAATTGGCAGGCACCAGTTTACTGCCATCTCTACGAAGACAACTAGGTCCATATAAGCAACAAAGTATGCAGTAAATCTCAAATAAAACATTGAAGGATGCCTTTTGTTCTAAAGTTAAGCGAGGTTCAAACTAATGGCAGAATACATACAGCTCAAATAATATTCAGTACCAAATTTGAACCTAAAAAGTAGATTGCACAGTCCATTAGGTCGGTGGTCATTAATTGTTTTCAACTCTGTTCACAAAGTTTTAACTGTTGCAGAAGCATCCGCTATGAAAGAAAACATAGTTGTCACATTGTTCATTTATTGTATTTGGCATCACAACCAAATTAAACTCTAGGTTTACTTGAAACTGACCCTAACTTAGAGATGAATGAGTAAAAAGGCCCCATATTTGATGAAAAAAATCACCAAACAAGTTATACCATAATGTATTTAATTTTGTGAAATAAACTTGCTGCTAACAGTATGACAGTCATACCAACCAAACAAAAGGGAAGGAGCAAAACTTTAGGCTCTACCTACTTAAAACTTCGTGATTTCTTTGCCACAAACTCATGATGACATATTAGCTGGCCAAATCCTGTCCTAAAACATCTCTCAATATAATCAAAACTGTATATTTCATTCCATACCACATTAACCTTATTGAGGCTGGTCAATATTACAACTAAGTAATGGAGTCTTACATGGCAGGAGTAATGGAAAATTTGTCTCCTCAGCAAAACTCAACATAATTTAGATTTCATTTCTACAAATATTCTCTACTAAACACTTAGAGCTATCTGGAGAGCTATCTCAAATTTTGAACAAGGATTTTGGCAGAAAGGTGAACAATTGTGTGATTTATAAAGCATCAGTCATTACTCCAGCAATAATGGTCAAATTCCAAACTTAATTTATTCAATTGCTCTGAAAGTTTTAGATTGTCTAAGACACTGAACCACTTTTAAAAAGAAATAGAAAATAATGTTGTTCACCAAGCTGCACAAACTGTCATGCCTTAAAAGTTCTTGTTTCTTACCTCTCTTAGCTCTTTAGATACTGAATCCGCCCTTAACTTTGCTTTCATCATTTCTTCCTACAAGTACCACAAAGTTAGTTTTATTCTCTAAAAATAGCATCAACGCATATCACCACTGCATTCTTTTACACCTGTGCTAGTTGAAGTGCGTGCTCAGCATTATGAATTTTGGATTTCTGCTCACTGTTAATCCTTTGAATCTGGACAAGGAAAAACAAACAGAAAGAAATGAGCAATTTTATGTTGCATACAAAATTGGATAATTCATAAGAAAAATTCCAATGTGAGAAATGATGAATCTTATGTTGCAATATTTCAGCGGAGAATGATGCAAGAAGAATGCTAAGAAACATGGTGCTGAAAGCAACAAAAGAAATCCCACTTTTCTAGTTGTCTTCGTGGACACAAATTTTATGGAAAATGGTTTATTTATTGCATGTCATGAAATTGAAAAGATGATATGAAAATTTTAGTAGTCCATGTCTTAATCACACACACAGATGGAAACTTAATACAGTAATTAGTAGTTAACTCTTCAAGGTGGAATTGTATTTTAGGACAACCAAGAAAAGAAAAAGAACTATAAACAATAAAAATGGAACATAAGGATATTTAGAAGAAGGAATCATGATAAAAGAAAAGACAAAATTTTTGTTAAGATTTATAAAACCTTGACCTCTACCCTTGAAGTTCACTAGCTCAAACAAATTTGTGTACAACATCAGAAAGACGGTAGGACCTTCTCTTGCTAAATGCTCAAGTTGTATGCCAACTGACATGCTGATTCAACAGGGACAATGATACAAGGAAAAAAGAGAAGAAGACATTCAAATGTGTACAGTACCCTTTGCTTGTCTCGCAGTAGGTTTAATACTAGCAACCTTTCAACTGCAAATTGACTAAGCACTGGAATACAGAATAAAGTTTCCATCTTGTTAAAGATTATCTGCCATTTAGCAGGAGAATCTTGCCAATCAGAATAAAGTGAAAAAAGAAATATTTTTGTAGAACAAAAGGGATCACAAATCAGCAGGATTTATGTGCAATGATAAAACAGAAGCAGGCAATTAGAAAAATGCATTACTTACATCTTCTAGTTTCAGATTTAGTTCCCGGATCTTTCCCTCAGCTACATTTGTTCGAACTTCTAGTGCATCTTTTTTCTTATTCTGCATTTCTATTTCCTTTCTAAGGTTGTCAACCTGTTAGAAAGAGTGATCTCTTAATGCATAAAGCAGCTCCAAAGAGTAACTACAAAAGTTAAAACATGACTAACCAACCTGCTTTTCAAGTTCAGTAGCCCGTACATGTGAGTTACTCATCTGATCCTTAGCATCTAGAGTTGCTTTTTGCTAATAAAGATAAATGACAACAGAAAATGTTTTCTGTCAAGGAATCACAAATAGTTTATCTTTTAACTAAAAAAATAACAGAAGAGAAATGAAGCATAAATCAGTCAACAACATGGAAAAAGAAATGAACAAAATATTTCTCAGAACCAAGAAATAAACACAATGGAAAAAGAATGTAAACTTACCTGGAAATATTCTATTTCAATCTGTAATGATGAGATGCTGTCGGATTTCTCTTGAATGGCCATTTCCAATTGTCTAATACTCTCATCCTTGATGCTCAATTCATGGCTTCTTTCATCAATAGTAGATTCTAGGGAAAACATGAAGAAATTGATGCATGTCATTGACAGAGGTGTAATAAGTGTTTGAACAAAGTTACTGACACATATTTATAATCTGATACGTTAGAATCAGTCCTGGTAAACTTTGGCTTAAAGAAAAATGACTAACTAAAATAGAGTAACCTACTAGACCATAAAACTTTTGCAGAAAGTGTTGTGATATGTTAAGCCTAAACTTTTGTGAGTAAATAATATATTGATAATCTGATAATGTTAGAATTAGCATAGGGGAAATTGCATGCATCCGGGTAATTAACAATTTGCAGAAAATCTACCGAGGAAAACAGTACCTAACTGAAAGGGCTGAAATTTCTAACCATTATACAGACTTCCTAGCACAAACTTTAATCAAATTCTAACAGTAGAACTAAAATTAAATAAATAACAAAATAAAAAAGCCATTTGTAACATGGTTACTCTGAGCAAGCATGCATGAAATTGGATAAAGGATTTTGCATTTTCCCAATAATCTTATATGTTACTCTTATGTTACACTTGTTTTCCTACAGTACTCCCACAGCAACCAAACAAAGAAAATATTTATAAAAAAAAACCTTAAAAAATGTTCTCAGTGTAAAAAGCATTAATCAGGATAAACCCAATTAAGTATTAATCACAGTAGTAAAAATAAAACATATTTATATATGTTTTCTAAGTGTGCATATACCTAAAACTGAAATCTTGGACTTGAGGTGGTCAACGTCGTGCTCGAGAGCAGAGTCTCCAGGCTCCGATGAGAAAGCTTCGACGATTTCCGGCGATGGGTTAGATGTAATTTGAGTGAAAATTAGAAGTAAAAGTAGTAAGAAGAGCAACGACTTTTGCAAGGTCGCCATTAGAGAGAACCAATAGAGATCACCGTGAGAGTCTTTTCGTCGTCTTGCAAAACCAAAAATGAAAAAATTAATTGAGATTTTTTTAGCTGTCAACGGCTGGACAGCCAAGCCCTAAGACCCGATCCGATTTTGAATGTCATAGATTTTGATAGGATTAAAAACAGTGTGAAAGTAAAATTAATTATGATAATGTTAAAATTAATTAATATAATAATAAGATTAAAATTATTTTTTTCATTTTAAATATTTGTCATGTATTAATTTTTGCAGAATTTAAAAAAATAATTTTAATTTTAATATATTTAATATTAAAATTTAAATTGTTTTATAAAATTAAAGTTTTATGATTTTTAATATCAAAAAGTAAAAAAGTTTCACATAAATAATTTTAAAATCTAAAAAAATAAAAATTTTAGATGTTTAAAAAAAATAAGATATAATTTTGAGACATTCCAAAAAAAAATATGAATAAAAAATAAGATAAAAGAAGTAATATTTAATAACAAAAACTAAAAATTTATCATTATATTTATATAAGTGATCTAAATTTATCATTAATATTTTAATTACTGAAATTTTATCATCATTTTATTAATTTTGGAGCAAATTTGTTACTAAACTTTTAATTTTAAATTAAATTTAGTCAAGATATAATAGTTAAAAAATATTTTGTAGAATATATTATATTTGATGTACTGTTAATATATAAATTTTATATATTATCAATAAATAAAATGATGTTATTTCATTAATAAAATGAATAAGATGATATCATCTCATTAATAAATAAATTTTTTAAATAATATTAATTTTGTTGTATATCTATTTTAAGGATTGATTTTGCTCATTAAATGGCATCATGTACACACAAAATTTGTATTGAAAATATGATAAGAAAAGTTGGAGACAAATAACAAATTATCAGATTTGTGAAAATTATAATCCCTAAAAATTCTTATTACAAAGAAAATCATTTGAATTTTTTTTAACAAAAGTCCTTTTTAAAAGGTCAAGCAAACTTGTTCTTTAATACTTTAATAGTCATTTAAACTTGTTTTTAAATACTTCAAGGGTCTTGTTGCCTTATTTTAAACAAATAGAATTAATATCCTTTCTTTGGAGGGAATAAGATTGAAGAGCAATTTCTTGACAATTTTAAAAATTCAAATGCTTTGTTTTAGGGTTCTTCAAAATTTCTTCAATTCTTTAGAGCTTGCATCTTGAAACTTTTGAGAGATTTTGGGTTTTTTAAATTTTTTTCACTCTTTAGAGTTGTCTATTATGAATTATGATTAAGGAAACATTGTATTTATAGTGAAAACTTATTAGATAAGAGAGAGAGTTTCAATGAAACTCATACTCTTTGATTTTATCTCTAAATAATTATAATTTAATTTAAAGATAAAAACTGATGACTTATTGATAAAATTTTATTAATTAAACTAAGTGTTTTATCTTCATTTGACAAATGACATATTTAATTAATCATAAAATTAATTAATTAATTATATGATTAAATTAAATAGTGCCACATAACAGAATGAGGGGCCATGGCCCTTCAAGAATTTTTAAAGTTTTCTTAGTTTACATAATGTTATCAATTAATTTTTTAAATATATTTTTCAAAATAAACGAATGGTCCCCTCAAGATAATATAATTATTTTAATTTTTATTTGTAATTTTCTAACTTATTAAAACTTTTTAAAATTTTAAGAGCATTATTTATTTTTCAAGTTTACTAAAAATTTAAACTATCTTCACTAAAATAAAAAAAAAAATTTAGTATAATTGAATATATTTGTAAAGTATGAAAATTTCTTTTTATAGAATAATTTATTTATGGGGTTATTAATTAAATAGTATAAATACTCTAATACTAAATAAACTAAAATAAAATTAAAGTAACAATATAGAAAGAGTTTAAGAAAAATAAAATTATATGCATGTTGATCAATTTAAAATTTTGATAACCGAAAAAATAAATAATTCTATGAAAAGTTTACTAATTATCAATGCTATAAAATAACTAATTAAAGAAAAATAAAAAATAAATAGTTGAACTATTAAAATGAATCATCAATTCAATCACTCTAAAAAGCTAATATAAAATTCAACTTTAAAAAAATTCTATGTGATGAAGAAAAAATATATATTAATAAAAAATAATTATAGAAAAATTTTTAAATGGAGTTTTATCATTAAATTGCCCTAGAAAAAAAGTAAATTTCATAAACCTTTTTATTTTTCAAAATTTATGCCCTTTTTTCATTCAATAAAAAAACTCACATATGTTAATAAATGCAAAACTTCATACCTTATGAGAGGTACATTTTACAACCGTGCAGTTGGAGTTACAAATTGAAAATTTACAATCTAATTTTATTTTCTTTATTATTATAATTTTTATTAAAATTTTGAAATTAAAAGTTGATTAAAAGAAAATGTATAAAAATAATTGCATCTAACATAAAATAATAATTATAAAAAAAAACATATGTTGAGGAATAACTAAATTTATCAATATCACAAAAGACTTGAAACAAAATTATTAAAAAAATAAGTTAGAGAAATTGTTAATACATTAAAAATTGGATTTGTTAATTGATTCTAAAATAAAAAAATAATAAATCAAAATAAATATTTATGTAATGAACAATATTATTTCAAACGATCAACAGAATTTAATGAAAGAAAATTATATATTTAAACAAAATAAAAAAGATCATTAAATTGTATAAATGTAATTACAAACTGCATTATATAAATTAAAAAAAATAAAAGTAATGAATTAAAAAAAATGACAATTAAGAAAATACCAAAAAAAAATTTTTTTTTGAAATTTTAGTCTCTCTTCATTAATTTAAGTTGGCCATATCCATCAGTACAGCTGAAGTGATATAATCAGGAAAATCCTCTACCCAAAACCTATCTCCGCAAACTGTATTGCGCAAGTGTAAGGGCTACTACATTTCCTTCTCTCAACGTGTGTACAATCAAGTATGAGTCAAACCGCCCAACCCATCCCCTGCCATCATGAATTATAGGGCCTATGTTGGATAGTGCCTTATCCTCTCCTTGCAAATAGTTTATAACTATTCGTGAGTCCCATTCAAGCAAAATCTTCGTGCATCTCCCATTTGTGCTACAAACTCCACGGCTTTAACTACTGCTAGGGCTTCTATTACGCAAGCATCCACCACTAGGTGGACTGTAAATGCAGCTGCAACTGCAACTTGTCCTATGTGATCTTGTATGATAACCCCAACACCTTCCTTTCTGTTCTGTGAATTTAAGGCACCGTCAAATTTGACTTTGTGGAGCATTTTTGGTGCCTTCCACTTCCTCGCCATTGTGGGCCCTTGGTTATTTTTCCTTTATAAAATTTTACTTTGGTATTCTGGCAATAGTGTTCCAGCTTTCTGTTCCAATATGTTCACCTGTTGTGTTTGCCCAATTTTCACGTTCAGATTTCTGTCTCCCTAAAATAGCCATACTAAGTCGAGAAAGAAGTCAAACTCTGTGCTTGGCAGTATCCTTGCAGTAGATTCCAACCACCCTATTTACCCTTAACTTGTCATTTGTGCCATTTGGTTCACACTATTGTTCTTGGACAGGACTTTGGCAGGAGTTGAGCAGTCCCTTAAAGCATGCAAGACAGTTTCATTTGTTATTCCACATCTTGGACAGCATAGGTTCGTACTAATTATTTTGGCTGCTAGTTTCTCCATAGTTGGTAGGATTTCATGACATGTTCTCCACGTAAATATCTTCACCTTAGGTTGTATTAAAGCCCCCCCAAATTTTCCTCCATACTATTGATTAGTTGCTTGCATTTGTATCAGCCTTAGATTGCACCCAATAACAGCTTTTTACTGTGTAATCACCTGATCTGTTAAAATGCCAAATTAATTTGTCATTTGGTAATGACTGGTTCTAGATTATCGAAATGGTGGTGGCTTGGGTGTTGAGAATGGAATTATGAGTAGTCCTCCCCCGTGGATCGATCAGAGAGCTCCCTTATATTTGTAAAACCAAATAGGACATCGAAATTAAATGCTTCAGCAAGCATCTGAAAAGTTAATTGGAAACTTTGGCTTGTTGTGGTGTGAAAGATGGGTAAAGGAGCTGCTACTCCTGCTTTGCAGAGACTGAAACAGTATCAGTCTCTTCCCTTTTTTTTTTTTTTTTTCTATTTTTCTCTAAAAAAAAGGATTTTGAGCTTTGAAAATAAAATAAAATAAATTAAATTAAAAAAATAAATTGGGCTCATTGGCTTTTAGGCCAATATCGTGATTTTAATTTAAAATTAAATTAGGCTTCTAAAATTGGGGTTTGGACTTGAAATTTTGATTTGGACTTTTATTGGACAGTTAACTCCAAATAATTGAATTTTAATCCAAAATTGAATTAACTTGGATCTTAGCTATGTGGAATGATCCCAACAACAATTAGTCCAAAATAACTCATAACGGACTCAATCCAATTAAAATGCGCAAATTAGCTCGAATTGGAATTTAAAAAGTGAACACATTCGAATTATTTGGATAAAATTAAATGTCTACAACTGTTTCCCTTTACACATTACTGAGAATCAAGAAGAAAGTAAATATATAGATAATAATTTTTTTTTAGAGTCAACAATTCAAAAGTTTTTTTTTTAAATTTATGAATTTTTTGGAATTTTCTAATCAGTGATTGATTTGACTTTTTTGTTTTTTTATTTTTTGTTTATTTTGTTTTGTTTGTTTTATTTTTTTCCTTTTTGAATTTTTCTTCTCTTTTTCGTTTTTCTTTATTATTTTATTTTTTTGAATTTTTGAAAAACTATTATCGTTAAAGGTTTCACAATTTTTGAAAATAAATTTAAAAGCTTTTTCATTAGAAGCTTCACAATTTTTTGAAAATAAAACACAATAACTTAGAGATTGTATCTGAAAGTCTTACAAATCTAGACACTAAAATGGGCTCAGCTAGAAAGAGTTGCAAATCTTACTTGGAGGACTTACAGATTATGCTCAAAGAGCTTACAAATCTTAATACTAAAATAGATTCAGCTTGAAAGACTTACAAATCTTGTCTGAAGGACTTAGAGATTATGCCCAAAAGTCTTATAAATCTTAACATTTATAAAAGCTCTTCTAATAAGAGGCATTGAAACTTTAAAG